TAATAATAATAATGATTTTTTTTTTATTATTATCATAATCATCATTATTATTATTGATATAATTAGAAATAACAGTGTATAGTATATCCTATAATTATAATATAGAATAATGACGCCATCTCTGCGTGCAGGACCAGCACACGATCCTGCGCTCGTGGGCCGTCAAGGACTTCGCGCCGGACTGTCCGCAATACGTCCAGGTGTTTCGGCCGGAGAACAAGGTGCACGTCAAGTTCGCCGAGCACGTCGTCTGCGAGGACGAGTTCAAGTACGCGATGCTGGCCAACAACTGCGTGTGTCCGGGCATCTCTACGCTCGTCACGCTGCTGCTGCACACGTCGCGCGGACAGTGAGTAGTCTAGTGTAGTAGTGTCGTCATGACAGCGCTATGCTATGGGGCTTCTGTTGGTATGCTAGGGGCGTCCAGGTGCTAGGAGGCGTTCTGTTAACACACTAGGGGTCGTCGATACGCTAGGGGGGCTTGTGTTGACACGCTAGGGGGCGTCGATATGTTAGAGGGCTTGTGTTGGTGTGCTAGGGAGCGTTGCGTAGAGAAGCTAGGGGGATTCGGACGCTATAGGGGGACGTTATGCGTCCGTTAACGCGTCTGCGAGGACGAGTTCAAGTACGCAATGCTAGCCAACAACTGCGTGTGTCCGGGCATCTCTACGCTCGTCACGCTGCTGCTGCACACGTCGCGCGGACAGTGAGTATAGTCGACGTCCCAGTGATAGACCTAGAGTGACAGTGAACTGATACGCTAGGGAGCATTGTGTTGACACGCTAGGGAGCTCGTGTTGACACGATATGGGGTATTGTGTTGACACGATTGCAGGTATTGTGTTGACACGATAGGGGGTATTGTGTTGACACGATATGAGATATTTTGTTGACACGATAAGGGGTATTGTGTTGACACGATAGGGGGGTATTGTGTTGACATGATAGGGGGTATTGTGTTGACACGATTGCAGGTATTGTGTTGACACGATAGGGGGTATTGTGTTGACACGATAAGGGACATTGTGTTGACACGATAGGGGGCGTTAATGCGCTTGAGAAGTTTGCGTTGACACACTAGGGGGCGTTGATACGTTAGGAAGCGTTGTGTTGACATTCTAGGAGGCGCTGATAAGTTAGGGAGCTTGTGTTGGTGTTCAGGCGCTGGATAGAGTTTTGTTGACACGATAAGGGGCGCCCATGCGCTAGAGAACGTTGCGTTGAGACGCTAGGGGCGCTGACATGCTAAGGGGCTTTGCTTTGATACGCTAGAGAGCGTTAAGATGCTAGGAGGGCGTTGCGGAGAATGGCTAGGGGCGTGCAGACGCTAGGGGGACGTTAACACTCTAGGGAAGCCAGGCGTCTGGTTCTATTCAAGGATAGTTCTGACCATGGTTATCCTGCAATACATATGTACGCATATATGTATCTATGATTCCCGCCGCGATTCATACACCGTCAGCTGCTATAACATAATTATAATGCGATTCTTTCCATTATGCTGAACTGCGGAAGTTAGATTAACTCGTTATAGTTGTTGTTCGCTGCAACGCACTAATAACGTAAGCGTTATGCTCAGGAAGTTATTAAAACGGTGATTCCACGCAAAATCTCACACAGAAAATGTCATACTTGAAGTGTGTCTGTAATGTACGTGTAACCTTCGCCTGTTATTAGTCTCGTACGTGAAAGATGAACGTAGACGACATTCTTTCGTGAATGTAGATTTCGCGTAACTCAGGTCGCCCTTACGACCTAGTCGCCGACAAAATTTGAAGATCGTACGTCAAAAACCGGCCAGATCGCCGATAAAAACATCGACGACTAAACTCGACATGGGTTCTCTTGCGATCGAAAATACGGTCGCCGACTGCGATCGCAGGAATGGAAACGGTTTTATTTCTATGCGCCGGTCGGCGACAAATCGTGAGTGGCAGCCAATCGCCGCTACGTGTCGAGTCACATGATTATCAAAAGTCACGTGATTAACAAAATGCCAGCCTACACAGCAGTTTACAAGGAGGGATTATTGCACAAATCCTTTCTCAAATATATATTAAATTTTCCGTATATCACAGGCAATTTTTTTAATTCTTTTTCTGCACATAATTATAACCATTTTCAGAAAATTTAGGATAGATTTACGAAGTTACCTGATGTTTACTCTTAAGCGCCGTTTTGTTGGTCATGTGACTCGTTTTATGTAGACTGGTCCCGGTGTCAAGCTTGCTCTGTTTGTGCTAAAGCACTGCTTGTGCTAGTACAAATACTGTGGCTGCGAACCCGTCTACGTTTCCTGCAGAACGCTACGATCTGATCGGTAATGTACAGCGTGAAGTCACTTCAAGTCGACGTGAGTGTTGCTACGCTGCGAATCGGCGATAAAGTAGTCGGCGATAGTCAAATCGTAGTGCGACTTGAGCAGGGCTGAGTATGTACAGATTCGACAAAAATATGCGCGTTTAACTTGTTTTAGACTTGCGTGAACTGTAAGTGTTGTTTGCCTTGCGTTGACGCACGGTTGTTGTTTGACGCACGGGCTAACGCTCCATTAGGAGTGTTCCCAACGTTGATATCATTAACGATTAATGATTAATGATTAATGATTGATAATCCTAACCCTAACCCTAACCTAAATGACATTAAACCACAAACTAATATATGACCATGACCATATATATAAAATACATTAAAGTTGGGAACACTCCTAGTGGAGTATCACCCGTCACAACTCAGAAAACAGGCACGCTTGGGCGCGAGTTTGATGTTTTAAATTCTCGTTCATGTAAATTTCAACGTCGTAACGAAACTCACTCTCTCCCGAGAGAGATTATTTGCATATAATTATGCGCTGGGACGCAGATGTGAACTGCGACAAGATTTTGCGCGGCGTAACTTCGTTATCAGCGTGCGGACGCGCGAATTCAGACACGCTCTCCTACTCCTCTCCTTCTTCCCCCGCCTCTTCCTCCTCCCTTCTTTCTCATTATTCTTTTCATCCTCCTCCTCCTTGCTCCTCCACCTACTCCTCCACCACCACCTTCTCCTCCTTCTCCTCCTCCTCCTCCTCCTTCTCCACCACCACCACAACCCACCACACCCCACCCCACACACCACCACCACCCACCACCACCACTCATCCCTCGCTCTTGTCCTTCTACCACCTCCTCCTCCATCTCTCCTCTCCTCATTTTCCTTCCTCATCCTCCTGCTCCTCCACCACTCCACCACCACTCTCCTCCTCCTGCTCCTCCCCCCACCTCATCACCCCACCACCACCACCCCACACCACCTCCTCCTCCTCCGTCGTCCTCTTCCTCCACCACACTCCTCCTCGCTCCTCTCTCTCCCTTTTTCCTCCACTCCCCTTCTCCTCTTCTCCTTCAGCCTCCTCCTCTCCTCTCTTCTCCCCCACCACCTTCCTATCCTCCTCTTCCCCTCCTCCAACACCTCTCCTCCTCCACCTCCTCCTTCTCCTCCTCCTCCTCCTCCTCCTCTCCCCTCCTCTCCCCTCTTCTCCACTCTCCTCCTCCTCCCTCATCCACCTCCTCTTTCATTCTCGTTGAGGATTTAATTGCCGGGTGCTTCGGCCAGCGGTTCGCATGATCGCGTCCGACCGTTAGATTATAACGACACGTGCGAGCGTGATGCGTCTCGCGCTAATAAACTACCCGAATGTAGCTAATTACGCCGACCGCGTCGAATTAATCAGCCGCTCTTAAATTAAGATCGCTCGCGTAACACGAGCAAATTGCCTCCGCGCCGAAGAAATAAATAAATTGTGTAGATGGCTCTCATTCGACATCGGAAGCGTGGACAGACGGGCATTTTTCCGGACGTCGAGCATGCGCGTGAGGAGTAATTCGCGACGGTCCATATAGAGTGTTAGTTGCGAATCGTGTGCGCAGTTAAGTCTTCACTACATGAAATCAACGAGACGACATTGGAATTTACATCCGCTCTCGAAGCCAAGCACAGCAGGGTGAGCCTGCGCGAGGTTATCATCCCAACAGAAAGGCGGCCGCACAAAATTCACCCGTGAGTTTCTACCGACGTCCGTGGAAAATGT